TGTCGGCCTCTTCTTCTTGGTCCTTGGTGAAATCCAGCTGTTCTCACGTTCGCATGTCGAAGGTCTCACCCAGGTCATCCTCGGGGCATAGACGTCCAACGTCCTTGTAGATCTCTTCCAGAGCCTTCTCGGTTGCATACTCGTCCAGACATTCTCATATCCTTCGTCTGGATCTACTGACGTCTGGGCAGGCGGCTCCCTCTCTGGTATCCTGGGGTGGTTGATACATTCACTGACGAGCTCCTACACTGACGAGTTCCTGATCCTTTGCTGGATCTACGGGCGTCTCTTTTACTACATCATGAGGCGGCTTAATGCTTGCACTGACGAACTCGTGATCCCCAGGCTTACTGTGATATTCCCTTTGTTCCTTGGTGCTGTGTGATTCAACTGATATTATTCGGTGAACCAGATCATATGCATAAGGACCAAGATAGTAAGAGAAAAGAGAGGCAGCAGAGAGGGGGTATGTATTTCTACCCGTCTTTTTATATAAATTTGGAGATTTTTAAAAATTTGCCTTTGAATTTGTCCTCTTTTTCCACATTAGTGTTTTTTTTTCACAAGAATAAATAGGAAATAGGGGAGGGAAACGGAAGTAGCAGTAAACAAGGTCCTGCTTCAGCTATAAGCATCTCAGATAGAAATGAGAGTAGATACGGGGAACGACATCGGCAATCTGCGAGGATTGTGTAAATGAATGTGCTTTAGTGTAAACGTGAGTGAGAATGAAAGTGAGAGTAGGCTCACACAAAAAATGAATCACAAAGACAAAGATTATTGTTTAGTTTAACAATAATGCGATAATTAGCAATAACATTAATACAAAATCATTTCAACTACCACACTGAATTCAACAATTGAGGATGTGTGATGGAATGTACAGATGATGCGAAAAATTCTTTGCAAACAACAGAAAGTTTCAATTCGGATCTGCTACAAAATTTTTATATTTCGAGTTAACCATGTTTAGCTCAAGTGTCAAGAAGTTGGGAGCGTAGAGGTGGTGAATGAAATGGGTCTTGTCTTGCTGGTTTATTGGGGGAGGCAGAGGTCTCTCCCACGAGAGACCCGTGCCCTGGGTGCCGAGGGCGGAGGTGACGGGCGAGACTGTCGTCTGTCCCTGTCTCTCCTACTCTGTTCTGCCTGCTGTTGTTCTTCTGGGTCTCTGCTCTTGCCTGCCTGACGAAACGTCCTTTTATCCAGCTATTCCTTGGGAGGGCATTTGCTTGCTTAGGAGAAAGTGTCAAAAGGGAAAGTGGAGTCGACGTCTGCGTCCGTTGGAGAAAGGAAGGCAGCTGCTAGGGCCTAGGGGCAAAGGGGAAACCATCCGGCTTGACCATATCATTGACATTAAGCATATCAGACTACGTATGACTTTATCGATGAGGGTTTCTCTGACCAAATTAGCGGAATGAAGTGAACTAAAACCAAAAAACGAATTGAAAGAGGAAAAACGTGTAAATTTCTAACACAGTCAACAGAACTGGGAGAAGGGAGGAGTGAGTAATGGAAGTGTCCATAATGTATACCCACAGGGTTCTGAAGGTATTATAGTCAACTCATGAGAGCTTTGCTTGAGCGGAAATCGGAGGTGTAGTTTTGTTTGTTTTGCGGGCCATGAAAGGATGCAAAAAAAAAAAAAAAAAAGCTGTTACCAGTTTATAAAAGGCCAAGATGAATGGTAGTAAGTGTACAACTCATGACACATAAATAAGTCGAGCATAATCACAATCTCGGTTTCTGCTGGGATGCTGGTTCTGGAAACCTCGCGGAACCCACGTAGAACCAGTCTTGGCTTGGAATTTGAAGGTGGCATCTAGACCTCATGACTTTACATATAACCATGTTTGTATCATCATCATTAGGAGCTAACGCCGATGGTGGCGCATGGGCGGGTCCACCTTCTGGGATCCCTCATGGCAAGATGCTAGGCAGGGACTCGACCCATCTCGAGCTCCTCCCGACAGGTTTCATCGATCTGCCCAAGCCACGACCTCCTAAGTCGTCCTACAGGCCTCCTTCACCCAGGGTTGTCTCTGATAGAGACAACCTGATAAGTAGGATCAGTCTGTGAGAAGTGAGCCAGGTGGCCATATAGCCTGAGTTGGTGATCCTGGATTGTACATGTAACAGGTCCTGTGCCAGTCTCACGGTGTAACAGTTGGTTAGACACATGGTCCCGTCAACAATACCCCATAATCCGATGGAAGGACCTATTACAAAAGGCATCAAGATGAGACTCCAGTACACTTGATAAAGTCCAGGTTTCACTACCGTAGAGCAAAACAGGCATTATCAGGGCCCTGAAAACCCGTAGCTTGGTCCTTCTGCACAGGTACCAGCATCTCCAAATACTCTTGTCGAGAGAGTTCATGACCCCTGCTGCCAGGCCAATCCGTCTGCTGACTTCCTGGTCTGACAGCCCAGAGTTATGAACTGCACTACCAAGGTATGTAAAGCTCTCTGTGACTTCAATGTCCTCGCCGCAAGCACGTACCGACTGAACAGGTTCTCCTAGCAAGTCCCCAAAGTCCTGGATCTTGGTCTTGGTCCAGGAGACCTCTAGACCCAAGGGCTTCGCTTCATTACTAAATGCATCG